TCCAGCACGGTATAATCTCAGTCCAGTAATTAACAATCCTGACACAGCAAAAGTCACAGTATCAGCAGCACACATGGTCTTACTTCCAACCTTGCTGTCAGCATGTGTACTGACAGTGTGATGGCCTGGGATTCGGATTCGGATGCTGAACCTGAGGAATCCCAGCCTGTGCAGGATTCCCCACTTCCAGAACCAGCTGAGCTGGGGCTGGGGCATGAGCCTGAAGGGTCCTCACCTGTGCTGGATCCTCAGGTGCAGGCACCAGCTGAGTCCGCTCTGGCTCCTGAGGGGATGGAGGACCCATGGCCTGCAGGTGCTCCACCCTCAGCCCTGTCAGAGGAAGCTGAGGTTGCCTCTGGGTCCGGTAACCCTCCAGTCTCTCCTGAGCTGCAGAGGCTCAGGGCAGAAAGGCGGAGGGAACTAAGTTCCTGCAGGAGGAGTGCTTGCCTCCAGGCCAGGAGAGGCAAGTCACCTGTGGATTGGGGCTGCCCTATGCCTCGGGGGAGATAAAAGCCAGCCAGCCCCAGTCCCAAGTTGCAGGAGCAACATTGTTGGTTGTCAGTACCAGCCTGATCCCTGACCTGCTTCCCTGCTGGAGCTCCTGACCTCACCCGACACCCTGCCCTGCACCCAGCTTCGACTTCTACGGACTGCCGTCATTTTGCACCATTGACCTCGGACTGGACTTGGACCTTGCCTCTCGGTTAGCCCCCGGGACCAGCACAGACAGTGTGTGTGCTTTCCTCATGTGGAAATTGCAACCTTCAACTTCCTCCCTTTATTTGTACCTCCAGCTGACACCAGTCAAGCCTTGAGTGCCACTCACACACACTAAACAAAATTCTGGAACTCTCTTTAAAGCTTCAAGGAACTTTTATCTGTTTCTTAAAGAATATTTTCCTAACACTATCATAATATTTTGCACTTACCGCTTCCCATGATGCTTTAACAGCAACATCTAGAAGTGAAACACAGAAAATGTAAAGTTATAAAGAAAATCCATATATTGAATAACAGTTCATATTAGAACAGTTATTTCTAGAAACAAAAAATGAGCATTGTATCTTCTACATCCTTTGTTATCCTGAAAGTGCACCCATAATGTGGCTTGGAAATATGCAATTTACTTTAAATGTCACAGGGCATGGATTGGAAGATAATCAAATCAATGGAAAATGGTGTAATCAGTTAAATAGGAATAACTGAAGATACTGATTCATTTACTAGCTAACTGGGTACCAGTTTTTTTTATTTCAGTGGAATACCCAGCTGTGGTGCCGTGTGTGTTTAGAATTGTTCCCAAGTCCACTATTTATCTTACTAGAGCCATGTGGAGATTGTGAAGGAAGCATGGTGTGTGGTGGTAGTAGCTTTAGGGGGCATTAATGTTTGAAGTCTCACCTCACAAAGAGGTTCCTATTGGGTGGAAAGTGCTGGGCACTATCTGGAATGAAGAGCCCTGATGGATTGTGAATCTCCCATGGCGAGACATTCATTCTGGTTCTTCCTGACATGTATCATTTCATGTAGGAGGAACCTTGAGAACAGACATGTTTCAGTGTCCAAAAGAATGAGAGAAAGGCTCAAGTGTGTGTGTGTATGTGTTTTGGGGGGATGTGTGTCCCTATGTTTGACCACAATGTCCCCTCCTTCCTTTAGCTTTCAGACATCGAATACCAAGGTATGCAGGGAGATTTTAACTGGATTTAATTAACACAGTTAATGTCCGGTGGAGCCTTCCTACACTCATTTGAAGACATGAATAGTCCATGGATTGTATGGTCCCTACACCTCTCCGAGAAAGAGAACTTTTGCAATATGAAATACGACTCACCTGAGTACAAAAAGAAGACCATCAGAGTGAGGAGGAGAAAGCTGCTTGGCTTCATGATTTTGCTGGTGAGCTGGGATCTGTCTGCCTCTTAGTGCTTTTCCAAGCAGTAGATGCTTTTCAGCTTCCACTGGTTATGGATGAGGTCTGGTATCTCTTCCATGTATTTATGGATGTTTCTGCAGCCTTGATGATGAAATCTCCCAATTTTTGAGAAATATTTACACATGCAAATGTGATTAAACAGGACTGCAATGTTTTCTACCAGTTTTAATGGTTCCCTTTAAGTGCACATTCCCTGTGTGTGCAAGAAATATTTGGCAACCACATCCTTAGGAAATACGGCTTCTGATGCAATGATGACATTGCTGTTGCAGGTCACAAGAAATGAGGTACAAACAAAACAGTTTTAGAAATTCTGGGATTCTTTTGACCAAAGGTAATCATTTTAGTACAAAGAAAAACAAAGGAGCCTTACTCGTTCAGCATGTAAGTCATAAAATAAAAGAGGTATTGTTGTCCCAGAAAGCAATACAAACACATTACATACGTCAAACACACTTATTATTTTTAATTGTTTAAAACCACAGAAGTGGAAAACAAGCACAGAGAAAACAAGATTTGGTGATAGGAGAAAAGAAGCCATGAATGTATGGCGTGAGCATCTTGGATTTCCATTGTTTGAGGCCATTTTCTTCTGAATACAAGTTTCTGGGAAAACAGCAGGTGGGTCCAGTGTTTTTGCCCTCAGGTCCTGCTTGCAGGCATCCCATAGGCATCTGGTTGTCAGCTGTGAGAACAGGATCCTGGGACAGAAGAGACATGGGCACGATCAACCCATGCTATTTTTATGTTCTTCTGATGCTCAGAGTATTCACCCAAGGTCACCTCCCCCATTTTTCTGATTCTCTTTGAAATAGCATATTGCCATAGATTTAAAAGGGGACACCCCCCAAAAAACCCTAGAAATGAATATATGCTAGGATTTTGATTAATTGGGATATGGATTAAAATACAAGCTGCAGGGCTGTGCCAGACAGAGAATTCCTGGACTGTCTTATCCAAACCAGCCTGGTTGGCTTAGCAGAGAGCAAACCTGTTAACATGAGAAAAGGTGTTGATGGGCCAACAAGGAGACAACAAGGACAAAAATTGTCCACTACCACTTTATAGACCAACTAAGTTTGTTCTGGTATAAACTTTCGTGTGCATGCACACTTCTTCAGATATTTTTATTAATTCTTGAGCTAATTCAAGGGTGTAGTTGAATACCAATCTGGGTGGCATATATCAATTTATATTGGGGTAATTGAATTTTCTATGAATATGACAAAGGTGTTGATGGGCCAACTTGGAATCCACGATGTGGATGTTAACAAGGTGGTGGAGTGTATGTTTGAAGTGACAGGAAAAGGAAGTCTGGAAGCAAAGGGTGCTGGGAAGAAGAAGCAGGAGGAAGAGCCTGAATCCATCTTGGGAAGGCTGTCTGAAGGCTGTCTGAAGGCTGCCTTCGCTGCTGTAGGGTACAAGTGCCTCTTGAAATGCCCATAATTGTACGATCTGGACTCCCTCCATCCAGATTGAAGGTGCACATAGCTTAATAAAGCTTATTAAAGCCATGACAGTCTCTGCCACATCCTCAATTCTCCAAAGAAACACAGACCCTGTGTGGGTGCCTGGGACCCCATGGGCTTTTGCCACCACTTGGCAGAGAAAGGGGCAGACACTCGACTTTGGTAACAATATTTATTCTATTGCGATCATAGTGGTTTGGAAAAATCTTGATACTTCTAAAAAGAAGGATGATGCAACCATCATTCAGCAAAACTATAGAACTAAGGAGTCGCACCTACAATTGTGAGGCATTAACTCTGCTTTGTCTCCTTCCTAATCACCCCAGCGTCTCTCTCCAGCCCTTATGCCTTTGCTTATTAGCCATCCATGTATAGTGCACACCAACATCACCTCTCCACTCACCGCACTAGCAGTTCTCTGGCCAATTTCCCTCATAAGTTTGTATGTGTTTTACATGATAGATCTTGGCCAATTTTGGAAACAAGAAGCTGACTGAAGAAATCTGGACCTTGGTTTCGGAGAGTATTGAGGGTTCCAAATCTTGGCATAGCTATGTCCCACTTTGTCCCTCAGAGGTGCTTCTCTTGATCCTATGCATTTTTACTCCGCAGTAAGCCTTATGAAGTAAGGATTTGCTTTCAAGGAAGAGTGAATAGGATTGAAACCTGACACTTTATCAGATGTTTGCACAACATGTGGGTACTTCCTGCCGTTCCCTGCCATAAGCAGATATTCTGATGAGCAGTTGAGTTGCCTTCCAGGGGCAAAGGCTGATGGACAGACACTATTTTCTCTGCTCTGTTGAGATTTCCTTGTGGAACAATACCTGTGAAAGTGAGGAGCTCTTCTGCTTTTCTCTCTCACTAAAACAAGATGGCTCCTGCCTCTCAGAGATATCCTGAATGAACTTGGCAACTGAGCATATGCAGAACAGGATGATGGATCAGGTGGGCCATTGGCCTGATCCAGCAGCTGCTTCTTACGTTCCCCTTGTGCAGCAGAATGCTCTCCCCTTCTCTCCTCCTCCTCCTCCTCCTCCTCTTCCTCCTCCTCTGCATAGCCTAACCTGCCCTAGGGATTTCCAAAATCCAGCAGAGCCACATAGGAGACACAGTGGGACACCAAGGTGGGGAAAAGAAGGAGGAGAGAAATCCCATTGCGTTAACATTAATGCTGGCACAATGATGTATCTGGGTACCCACTTGAATGGCCTATATCAATTCATATGATGGCAACTGAATTTTCAATGTGTACTTTTCTCTTATTTCTCTGTCTGTTTTTTTATTTTCTTCTATTAAAAATCAATAGAAAAGAAATGAAAGGTATTATGACAGGGGGGTGGGTCCTAGTCTCAGTGTCTAACTAATCACATGTCTGTGTACAGGTGTTTTTTTTTTGGGGGGGGTTAATCTGCAGAACTCAATTGCCAGAACTCAGAAATGTAATAGTCAAAAGGGAGAAGATTCTGCTGATTGTTTGACTCAGTTCCCTGATTGTGCGTTATTAGTAACAAACTTCAAGACTGATCTCTTGCCCAAATCATATAATATTTTTAAGAATAGATAATACACAAATAAATGTATGGAGAGTTTGATAATGTTGCTGAGCTTATTTATTGATAAATCGAATCAAGATGTTGCAAGATATTCACTGGCTCACAGAGGATAAGCAAAGAGAAGAATGGATTTCTTTTTTGTGGTGATGCGATGAGTGAAGCTTAAAGAGAAACGGGACTTCTTTTGTAGATGTTTCATAGTCTTGTGCATCTTAAGCTTTTTTGCATTTTCCATAGTATTTCAGTTTCAGCTTTCTTCTACTTTCGCTGATGAGGAAAAAAAGAAGTAAATAAGTATGAGAATTCGTAAGGTGCAGCTTTCATTATAACTCCTTAAAGAGAAATACTATATAGATGGGTAAGCTTATGCCATCATTGCTATGTGTCTTGCGGACGGGAAAGGGCTGAGGAAGAATCCTGTCAGAGACCCTGGAAAACTACTTCCCGTCAGCCTAGCCAATATTGATCAAGAGGGACTAATGCTCTTTTCAGCTCTACCATTTATGGAAGATTCCCCTTCTCCCGCCTTCATCGTACATCTGTGTCAAACTTCTCTAGGAGCAAATGTTCAGACTTTTACCTAGTGCAATTTCAAGATCCACATTAAGGAAACACCTAGTGTAGGCCTTTGTTACCTTCAGAATAATGTTCTTATTACCCAATGATGAGGATTTTTGTTATTTTTCTTCTGGGCCAACCCAACTACCTTTTGCGTTGTGTCTTGCCTTGTGGGAAGGCGATAGTGTTGGGATGCTCCTAAGGAATCGGGGACAATTGGCAAGCACCCAGCTGGCCCTAGCCCACGGGCCAACATGCCGGTCGAACTCCAGTCCTTTGTGCAGCATGAATCTGTGACCCAGAGCTTCAGAAGTTCAGAAGCTGGGCAAGCAACTCAGCAGAGTAAATGCACAACAGAAGCGGGAGGGAGAGGCTTTGTAAAGCATATTTACAAGCAGTTTATTCAGCATAAAAAGGTAAAGGTAAAGGTACCCCTGCCCGTACGGGCCAGTCTTGACAGACTCTAGGGTTGTGTGCTCATCTCACTCTAGAGGCCTGGAGCCGCCGCCGTCCGCAGACGCTTCCGGGTCACATGGCCAGTGTGACATCGCTGCTCTGGCGAGCCTGCACCAGCGCAGCACACGGAACGCCGTTTACCTTCCCGCTATAAAGCGGTACCTATTTATCTACTTGCACTTTAAGCGTGCTTTCGAACTGCTAGGTGTGCAGGAGCTGGGACCGAACGATGGGAGCTCACCCTGCCGCGGGGATTCGAACCGCTGACCATAAGATCGGCAAGTCCTAGGCACTGTGGTTTTACCCACAGCGCCACCCGCGTCCCTTATTCAGCATACATCAGGACAAAAGGAAAAACATGTCTTCTCCCCTTCATGTCCAAAAGCAAGCAGCTTAAGCAAACGGAAGTTCGCAGCAAGCTGTGCTGGAGTGTAAACAGGCATGTGACACACAACAGTCATGCCTGTTCCTCTTAAGATGGAATGGAATATTCTAACAGATGGAGCCCATTTGGGCCTATTTCCTCTCTCCGTCCCCCTGGATCGCTCTTAGCAGCAGCAACAAGAGTGTCAGGAGGGTGGTGCATGTGAATAGCCCTCCCAAGCCACTCCATCTTCAAATTCAGGGCTACCTACAGATTAGCTCTGCTCACCATGTTCCTTTGGGCCTCATAAGCAACACATAAATTAGGGCCATGGGCTAGAACCCCACATTGTGCAAAATGATTCCTGCACTGTCCAGGGGAGGGGTGTCCCCCCCCGCTTGACTTTCCCTTCTACATGGGTGCTGATTCTCATTTTCTTTTCTGTTCTTTTATTTACATCTCACCATGCTTAGTGCAAATATAATCAAGTACTTTTTAACTTCCAACAAAGATGTCTCAGGGGGGAAAAAGGATTCCTGCATTCCAGGAGGTTGGAATACATGACTCTCAGGGTCCCTTCCAACTGCATTATTCTATGATATACTCACAAATATGCATTGCAGAAGTCACACTGGTTGCCATAGGTCTCGCCATCAGAACCACAGTGGGGACGTTTCTCGAAGATGCATGCTGGGTTTGGATGCCCTTTGCAATATTCCTGAAGACGAAGGATACAACACTTTTAGAGGTCCTCCCCACTTAACCTTTGGACTGCAAAGCCTTTCTGATTATGACATGCCTAAGAAAGAGGCACAAATAAGGAATACACCAAGTGTTATATTCAGTTATGCATTAAAGCACAGGGAAATGCTGATTCATCGTCCTGGCAAGCAGGGAATTGTGTGATAATGTTGTTCTCTATTCATCCCAAGTTCCCTCTTGGGGCATGTGATTCGGTGACATGGTAAGGCCCCATTGTGGGTGCTTAAACTTGTCAAATTATAGATTGTCGGTGCCAGGGATTTCATGCAAGACACCTTTAAAGTTTAAAATATTGCAGGGTTAGAACAGGTACAAAGTTTTTCACACTGCCAAACAAAATTTGCAGACATGGTAGTCCCTTCAGGGAAGATTACCGTATTTTTCGTCCCATAGGACGCACCTAGTTTTTTGGGGGGGAAATAAAGGGGAAAAATTCCCCTTTATTTCCCCCCCCAAAACAAGGTTGGGGAATCCAAACCAGGTCGGGGAACAGCGGGATGGCGGCGCTGTGCCTCCCCGTTGTCCCCGAGCTAGTGGGGCTGCCTGATGTCTGCGCTCTGCTTCAGCGCTCCCCGCGCTCCATGCAGCAGGCTGCTATCCGCAGCCTAGGGAGCCCTGCGGGAACTCCAAGCTTCAGCGAAAGCCTGCATTCACCCCATAGGACACACACAGATTTCCCCTTCATTTTTGGAGGGGGAAAATTGCGTCCTATAGGGCGAAAAATACGGTAATCCTGCCAGATTGTGAGTGGGCAGCTCCAGGGGTTTCATGCTAGACACATTTAACAGTTGTTTTTGCAAATAAATACTTTTAAAAAACACACAGTGAGTGCCTGAATTCATAAGACAGTGGCTAAATAATATGCCTGCAAGGTTGGGTGGTCTGTCTAGTAATAACAGAATAACCCCAGTAGGCTACTACAGAACAAAAGCTGAGACTTTCTTACAAATTGTGGGTAGCAACTGGAACTAATAATAATTCCACTGCCTTTTTTTTAAAAAAGGGATGGGACTAGAGATGTGAAATCATGGGGGAAATCCAGCACTTGTATGTTATATTTGTGTTGATGTGTTTTTGTTGCCTGTATTATAAATTCTATTTTAAAAATTCACACACACACACACACACACACACACACACACACAGAATAATTTAAAATTCCACAAGAAATATAAATTCACTTATCTTAACTCCATGTTCTATCATAAGAATAAATGATTTCCCACTTACCGCTTCCCATGTTGCTTTCACAACAATATCTAGATGCAAAACATAGATAATGTGAAAATGATTTAGCAAATCCATATGTTGAATAATAGTCCATTTGATAACATTTATTTCTAGTAACCGAAAAGTGGGATGCACTGTATCTTGTACATCCTATGTTATCCTAAAAGTGCCTTGGTATATGCAATTTCCTTTAAATGTCACTGAGCATGGATAGGAAGACAAGCAAATCAATGGGAAATGGTTGTCTGTTAACTATAATAATTACAAATAACTGTATATACTGGTTTAGTCCATATCTAACTGGGACCCAGTTCTGTTGATTTCCCTTGAATGCCTGGCTGTGGTGCTTTGCGTGTTTAGAATCATGGCTAGGTCCACTTTTTATGTCACAAAAGCCACGTGGAGACCATGAAGAAAGGAGGGTACATGGTAGCTTCAGGGGGCATTAATATTTCAAGCCTCCATTTTCAAAAAGGCTCCTATTGTGTAAATAGTGGTGGGTGCCTTGAGAAATGTAGAGCCCTGATGTAGAGTATCTTTATTTGATAGAGTAAATCTCACATAGGAAGACATTCATTCTGGTTCTTTCTGGCATGTATAATTTCATATAGGAGGAACCTTGAGAACAGACATGTTTCAGTGTTCAAAAGAATGAGAGAAAGGTACAAGTGTGTGTGTGTTTTCGGGGGATGTGTGTCCCTGTCCTTCATGTCCCTATGTTTGACCACAATGTCTCCTCCTTCCTTTCGCTTTCAGACAGCGAACACCATGGTTTGCAAGGAGATTTTAACTGGATTTAGCCACCACAGGTGGAGCCTTCCTACACTCATTTGAAGGCATGAATAGTCCATGGATTGTATGGTCCCTACACCTCTCTGAGAAAGAGAAATTTTGCAATATGAAATATGACTCACCTGAGTACAAAAAGAAGACCATCAGAGTGAGGAGGAAAAAGCTGCCTGGCTTCATGATGATGCTGGTGAGTTTAGTTCTGTCTGCCTTTTAGTGTTTTTCCAAGCAGTAGATGCTTCTCAGATTTCTCTGGCTGCAGTGAGGTCTGGACTCCTGCCCTAAATATATAGACGTCATTGTGGGACCAATGATGAAATCTCCCAGTCTCAAGAAATATTTACATGTGGAAATAGGACATTACAGAGGGCAGCAATGTAATATACCATGCATAACAGTTCCCTTCCTCTGCAGAAACTAGGGACATGCAAGAGATATGTGGTAACCAGTAGCTTAGGAAGTTGCATGCAAAGTAGCTTGTCTTGACAATAAGCCAAAGCAAGGCTGAAAAAAGACTCCAGTGACAAATTGCATGTCATATAGTATTCACCAAAAAATTAACAATTTGTTACATGTATTCTTAGCCAACACTGATTTCTGATATAAATATTCCGGGGGTGGGGAGTTTAGATGTGGCTATCATGAAAACCCATTGAAAGCGCCTTCCTTGTTCAACATGTAAGCAATAAAATAAAAGAGGTATTGTAAAGGTTGTCCAAGGAAGCAGTAGAAACATGTTATATACGTCAAACAGACCTATTATCTTTAATTATTTGAAAACCCCAGAAGTCGAAAACAAGCACAGAGAAAACAAGATTTGGTGATAGGAGAAAACAAGCCATGAATGTTTGGCGTGAGCATCTTGGATTTCCATTGTTTGAGGCAATTATCTTCTGAATACAAACAGAAGGTCGGTCCAGTGTTTTTGCCCTCAGGTCCTGCTTGCAGGCATCCCATAGGTATCTGGTTGTCAGCTGTGAGAACAGAATGCTGGGACCGAAGAGATATGGGCATGATCCAGCAGGGGTATTCTTGCGTTCTTCCGATGCTCAGAGTATTACCTCAAGGTCATCTTCATCATTTTCCAATTCTCTTTGAAGCAGTATATTGCCATAGATTTAAGGGGGGGGGAACACCCTTAAACTCTAGAAATGACTATATGCTAGGATTTTGATTAACTGGGATATAGATTACAATACAAGCTGCAGGGCTGTGCCAGACAGAGAATTCCTGGACTGTCATATCCAAACCAGCCTGGTTGGCTTAGTGAAGAGCAAACCTGTTAACATGACAAAAGGCTTTGATGGGCCATCATGGAAGAATCCACAATGTGGATGTTAACAAGGTGATGGAGTGTATGTTTGAGGTGACAGGAAAAGGGAGTCTGGAAGCAAAGGATGCTGGGGGGAAGAAGTAGCAGGAAGAAGAACTGGGCTCCATCTTGGGAAGACTTGCTGAAGGCTGCCTTTGCTGCTGTAGGGTACAAGTCCCTCTTGAAATGCCCATAATTGTAAGATCTGGACTCCCTCCATGCAGATTGAAGGTGTATATAGCTTAAGAAAACATATTTCTTAAAGCCACAACAGTCTCCGCCGCATCCTCAATTCTCCAAAGAAACACAGACTCTGTGTGGGCCTGTTGCCACCACTTGGCAGAGAAATGGGCAGACACTCGACTTTGGTAACAATATTCATTCTATTGAGATCACAGTGGTTTGGAAATTTCTTGATACTTCTAAAAAGAAGGATGATGCAACCATCATTCAGCAAAACTATAGAACTAAGGAGTTGCACCTACAATTGTGAGGCATTAACTCTGCTTTGTCTCCTTCCTAATCACCCCAGCGTCTCTCTCCAGCCCTTATGCCTTTGCTTATTAGCCATCCATGTATAGTGCACACCAACATCACCTCTCCATTCACCACACTAGCAGTTCTCTGGCCAATTTCCCTCATAAGTTTGTATGTGTTTTACATGATACATCTTGGCCAATTTTGGAAACAAGAAGCTGAGAGAAGAAAGTCTGAACCTTGGGTTTGGAGAGTATTGAGGGTTCCAAATCTTGGCAGAGCTATGTCCCACGTTTTCCCTCAGAGGCGCTTCTCCTGATCCTAAGCATTAAGCCTTATGAAGTAAGGATTTGCTTTCAAGGAAGAGTGAATAGGATTGAAGCCTGACACTTTATCAGATGTTTGCACAACATGTGGGTACTTCCTGCCATTCCCTGCCACAAGCAGATATTCTGATGAGCAGTTGAGTTGCCTTCCAGTGGCAAAGGCTGATGGACAGACACTATTTTCTCTGCTCTGTTGAGATTTCCTTGTGGAACAATACCTGTGAAAGTGAGGAGCTCTTCTGCTTTTCTCTCTCACTAAAACAAGATGGCTGCTGCATCTCAGAGATAAATGAGCTTGGCAACTGGGCATATGCAGAACAGGATGATGGACCTGGTGGGCCATTGGCCTGATCCAGCAGCTGCTTCTTATGTTCCCCTTGGGCAGCAGAACCGTCTCCCCTTCTCTCCTCCTCCTCTTCCTCCTCCTCTGCATAGCCTAACCTGCCCTAGGGATTTCCAAAATCCAGCAGAGCCACATAGGCGACACAGTGGGACACCAAAGTGGGGAAAGCAAGGAGGAGAGAAATCCCATTGCATTAACATTAATTCTTCTGCTGGCGCAATGTTGTAGCTGGGTACCCACTTGAATGGCATATATCAATTCATATGATGGCAACTGAATTTTCATTGTGTACTTTTCTCTTATTTCTCTGTCTGTTTTTTCCCCCCTATTAAAAATCAATTGAAAAGAAAAGAAATGTATCATAGCAGGGCGATGGTTTTTTTTAATCTGCAGAACTCAATTGCCAGAACTCAGAAACGTCATAGTCGAAAGGGAGAAGATTCCACTGATTGTTTGACTCAGTTCCCTAATTGTGTGTTATTAGTAAGAAACTTCGACACCAATCTCTCATCCAAATCATATAATAATTTTAGGAAAAGATAATACACCAATAAATGTATGGAGAGTTTGATAATGTTGCTGAGCTTATTTATTGATAAACCAAATTAAGATGTTGCGAGATATTCACTGGCTCACAGAGGATAAGCAAAGCGAAGAATGGATTTGTTTTGTAGTGATGCAATGAGTGGGACTTCTTTTTTGATGTTTCATAGTCTTGTGCATCTTAAGCTTTTTGCATTCTCCATAGTATTTCAGTTTCAGCTTTCTTCCACTTTCGCTGATGAGAAAAAAAGAAGTAAATAAATATGAGAATTCGTTAAGATGCAGCTTTCATTATAACTCTTTAAAGACAAATACTATATAGGTGGGAAAAGCTTATGCCATCATTGCTGACAGTCTTGGGGATGGAAAGGCTGAGGACAGATCCAGTCTGAAGACCCTGAAAAAATGCATTCTGACAGCCTAGCCAATATTGAGCAAGAGGGACCAATGCCCTTTTCTGGTCTACCACTTTGTGGAAGATCCCCCCTTCTCCAGCCTTCACTGTACATCTGTGTCAAACATCTCTAGCAGTAAATATTCAGACATTTACCTAGAGCAATTCCAAGATCCACATTAAGGAAACACCTAGTGTAGGCCTTTGATACCTTCAGAATAATGTTCTTATTATCCCCTGATTCCCTGAAGGGCTTTTGTTATATTTCTTCTGGGCCAACCCTACTACCTTTTGCATTGAGTCTGTCCTGGTGGGATGGCGATAGAGCCCATTTGGGCATATTTCCCCTCCCTGTCCCCCTGGATCACTCTTAGCAGCAGCAGCAGCAAGAGTGTCAGGAGGGTGGTGCATGTGAATAGCCCTCCCAACCCACTCCATCTTCAATTCAGGGCTACCTACAGATTAGCTCTGCTCACCATGTTCCTTTGGGCCTCATAAGCAACACATAAATTAGGGCCATGGGTTAGAATACCACATTGTGCAAAATGATTCCTGCACTGTGCAGGGGAGGGGTGTCCCCCCCGCTTGACTTTCCCTTCTACATGGGTGCTGATTCTCTTTTTCTTTTCCGTTCTTTTATTTACATCTCACCATGCTTAGTGCAAATATAATCAAGTACTTTCTTAACTTCCAACAAAGATGTATCGGGGGGGGGGGGAGGATTCATGCACTCCAGGAGGTTGGACTACATGACTCTTGGGGTCCCTTTAGACTGCATGATTCTTTGATATACTCACATATATGCATTGCAGAAGTCACACTTGTTGCCATAGGTCTTGCCATCAGAACCGCAGTGGGGACGTTTCTCGAAGATGCATGCGGGGTTTGGATGCCCTTTGCAATATTCCTGAAGACGAAGGACACAACAGTTTTAAAGGTCCTCCCCACTTAACCTTTGGACTGCAAGGCCTTTCTGATTATGACATGCCTAAGAAAGAGGCAAAGATGAGGAATGCAAATGACAATTCAACAAGTGTTATATTAAGGTGTGCATTAAAGCACAGGGAAATGCTGATTTATTGTCCTGGCAAGCAGGGAATTGTGTGATAATGTTGTTCTCTATTCATCCCAAGTTCCCACTTGGGGCATGTGATTTGGTGACATGGTAAGGCCCCATTGCGGGGGCTTAAACCTGTCAAATTATATATTTTTTTTGAAATATTTTTATTAAGTTTTTCCATTAAATCTTCAATCCTTCTTCAAATCTTCAATTTTCCACACCACATATTTTTGTTTGTTGGACCTCCCTCAACCCCTCTGACAATCATCCAAAGTTATTCTCCTATTTACACATTTCTTAATTATAATATCGCCTTCAAATAAAGTATTTATATCCTCGTTTACATTCTTGCGATATTTCTTAGTTTTCACAAAGCTTCTTTAAAACACACTAGCGTTGTATTTTCCTCACATACAGTTTTCAAATACTCTCTGAATTTTCCCCAGTCCTCCAAAAATTTATGATCTCTTTGAAGTCTGATTTTCCCCGTTAATTTGTCCAGTTACGCATAGTCTGTTAGTTTGCTTCTCCATTCATCCAGAGTCGGTACTTGTTCTTGCTTCCACCTTTGGGCTATCAGCGTTCTCGCTGCAGTTATTGCATACTGGAAGAGTTTAACGTCCCTCCTATTTATTTCCTTTCTAGTTATCCCCAGTAAGAAGGTCTCTGGTTTCTTTGCAAAGCTATATTTCAGCATTTTCCTTAACTCATTATATAAACCTGTCAAATTATAGATCATCAGTGCCTGGGATTTCATGCAAAACACATTTAAAGTTTAAAATATTGCAGGGT